CCCCAAAACCCCAAAACCCCAAAACCCCAAAACCCCAAAACCCCAATTTTCTTCCTATTTATTGAAAATCTGGAATAACTTTTTTAACCATAAAATATGCTAGCAAGATATCCAAGAAGATTCTTCAGCGGAGCCAAGAAATTAAGTTATGCTTGTGGAACTTCTGACATTCCACTGAGTAGTGAAACCATCGGAGGAATGCTTAGAAGGCAAGCTAATGAAAGGCCGGATCATCCTTTCCAGGTCTTTTACCAAAAAGGAATTGAGTACACTTATAAAGAATTTGATCAGAGGGTTGACGAGATTGCCAAAGGCTTTATCGCCCTTGGTCTCCAGCCTGGTGACAGAGTCGGAATGTATGCTTACAACCGTCCTGAATGGTCCCTGACGCAGTATGCATGCGCCAGAGCCAATCTGATCCTGGTGAATGTGAACCCAGCTTTCCAGACTGATGATCTTGAGTATGCTCTGAACAAAGTCGGAATCAAGTGACTGGTTATGCAAGAGCAGTTCTCTCACTCTCACTATGTAGATATTGTCAGACACTTGATTCCTGAACTTGGAGCTGATGGAACTACTCGAGTCAATAGTGACTTGGTTCCAGCACTCGAACATGTAATTGTGACTGGGTCGAAGCGACACAAAGGCATGCTCAATTTCAAGGAGCTCTATTCGATATACGCGAACAGAGATGCTGATGAAATGCAGCACAGAGAAGCTGAAGCTGACTTCGAAGCCCCAGTCAACATCCAGTTTACATCTGGTACAACAGGGTTTCCGAAAGGTGCCACTCTCACACACCACAACCTGATCAACAATGCGCTGTTCCATGGACTTGCTGCAGAAAATGATGCAGACACCAGGCTGTGCATTTCAGTCCCGCTGTATCACACAATGGGCATGGGGATGGGTAACCTCTCGATGCTTGTGCATGGCGGGACCTCAGTATATCCAATGGAAGGGTTTACCCCTGACATCAGCTTGCAAGCCATTGACAAATACAATTGCAATTCAGTCATCGGAGTGCCGACAATGTTCACATACCTTGTCAAAGAACATAAAGACAATCCTGGAAAGTACAACATAGCCGATTTGTCCAGAGGGGTCATGGCTGGCTCGATCTGTTCGGAAGAACTTCTCCGAAAGTGTGAAAGCATTCTGGGGATCGACTACGTATCGGTTTCATATGGAATGTCGGAGACTTCGCCAATTTCGTTTCAAGTCAGACGTGACGCTCCTCGCGACAAGAAGATCTCAACAGTCGGAACCATCCTGCCTCACACAGAAGGCAAAGTCATCGACGACAAAGGGTTCACAGTCCCAGTGGGTCAGAAAGGAGAAATCTGCACTAGAGGCTACTTGGTCATGGACGAGTACTTTAACGACCCCGAGAAGACTGCAGAGACCGTCACGCCGAGAGGCTGGGTGCTGACTGGAGATCAAGGAATCATGGACGAAGAGGGGTATTTGGAAATCGTTGGGAGAGTCAAGGATCTGATTATCAGAGGAGGAGAGAACGTGACTCCTAAGGAAATCGAGAACATTTTGCTAGAGCATCCTGAAGTACAAGATTGTCAAGTCATCGGAGTTCACGATGAAGTAATGGGTGAAGAAATTATGGCTTGTATCCAAATGGACAATCCAAATCATGTTCTAAGTAGAACTGATGTTTATGAGTTCCTTCATGGACACATTGCTCATTTCAAGATTCCTAAATATGTTAGAATTGTCAAAGAATTCCCTCTCACTGTCACAGGGAAGATAAAGAAGAATGTTATGAGAGACGAAGCAAATAAGATCCTTAAGGAGGTTCATCCAGACAATTGGGAGTATGATCATGACATATATGTATAAAAATCGTTACAAGAAGTTCCATTTTTAATTCTGTAAAAGGGGTTTTGGGGTTTTGGGGTTTTGGGGTTTTGGGG